CCCAACTCTCCTGAAGTTTTTGATCGCAAAATTGAAAAAGAGTCATCTCCCTCTTCCATCTGTCGTAGCATCGTGGGATCCCTGGAGCCCACCGCTGCAGGAAACTGGACTAACTGGCACACCGCCGTCAACGTCATGGAACCGAACTGAACTGAACTGAAGTTAGCATGCACATTAATCCTCATGCATCTAAAAAAACTAAATCTCCAGAAATAGAAAGCATGGACATAAAGCCATAGTTATGCAAAATACATTAATTTTATTTAGTTTTTCTTCGGAAGGTCTCCAGAGTTTGGTCGTAGATTCTCGGTCATTTGAAATAGCGCCAAAACATGCCCGAAATACAAACACAACCACGAGGGTTGTTGCAATCCACGGACTGCCTGATTACACTACTCTTCAGACCAATGAGTTTTGAAATGCAGTTCTGTGACGTTTAATTTCAGCACCTTCCCGGCCGTTCCGTTGTTTTAGTGCACACTCTCAAGCACAACTCAACTTTTGATAATCGCATCGGATCGCCTACTCTTGTGTCCTTGCAGGTGTCCGATATGTTTATATAAGGGTAAGATTTGGATAGAAGTGCACCAAGTACCTTCCATGAAGAATGAAATTTGTACTTGACAGCCTCTTTAGAGGGTTGGGTAGATAGCGAATAGATATAAATCTAGACTTGTTCTTACCGATGACGTTCAATCACCGATCTAATCGTTCTGCTAAAAACCATCCATGGGCCTGGGTGGTCGTTTAGCTTCAAACATCCATCAGAATTGGCTATCTGGGGTTTGTGCTTCACCGTTCTGCGCGGACTTCTCCTTTGCGGAACGTACTTAGAACATCAGGGAAAACGGTGCTCTCGTGTGCTACTTAACTTTAGGTCGATCACAGGACTCTTTCCGCGTGTGACACACGGTCGGGACTATATCGGAAATGACTAAGAACTTGAATAGGTAGCACCCCAAGACACCTTTCAACAACAAAATCATGTGAAGATAAGGAAGTAGCGGGATGCCAACAAATGCTGCTTTCATCAACAAAAAGGATGTGATTATCCGTTTGCATTTAGGCTTGGATTTGACCGCCAAAGTATCGTCTCTTTGTGGCCTCCTTTGCTTTTTCATTCTTGGCAGCATTGATGTGATGGTTAGCAGTCTTGGGCATGTGGTTGCTCTTGTGCTCCTCTTTTCATTCTGGCTCACGCCGGGAACGCTTCACGGTTATTTAGAAAGGCCGTAACTGCGTGCGCAAGTGTCTTCACGGTGACTTGCTGGTTTGTCGCGTTGACGTGATTTCGTCTGTTGCCAAGGAACAAAGATGAAGACGTGCTACTACAACGGTTGAAAAATGGCCTCCTGTCGTCTTGTTTGAAGCAGTCTGTCCCCAGCACGGTTTCCCGCACCAGACAGCGAGTGTGGGATGCCACGGCAGTGGCATCCTGCTACTTTTCACCTTGAGATGTTTGACCATAGTTTGTTGATTTCATTTCCCTATCCGATTTCGTTGATCTCTTTTTGGTCGTGGAGTATACGGACGTGCAATATTTTGAATTAGAAGTTCATCCATGGACTACAGTCCGTTTAAGTATGTAAGTGTTACGCGACGGAAGTGGCCGATTGCAGTCGTTCAGCGGAACACCCATAGAAATCAATTAAAACGCATGTGATTGAATGTTGACTTCCAAACCTTTTATGAAGTCTTGGTTTTGTTTTCTACCCACCGAGTCAGATTTTCTCAGTATTACTTGAATATGGCTCATTTCGGTCAATTGCGATCGTTTCTCGGTTAGATCACATTCAATAAGTGAGGGCTCACCACCACTTAACTAGTGATAAACTGTTCTTTGTCTAGAATCATTCGAATCTGCTCTTTTTCCTTAATATGCTCTCCAGATTAAACACGGTTTCCTTTCTATTAATTTACAGGTTGTGGCCTAAAACGGTGAACACTCCGATGCCATCTCGAGTAGAAGTCCATTCTGGTCGTCACGATGCTTCCACCAATTACTCTTCTCAGAAGCCTGTTTCGTACACAGTGTCGAAGCAACTTCACGAAGCATCTGGCCGCTCGCGCCAGAAACGGATGCGCTTCACCAGTGGTGGTGCTATAGATGATAATGTGAGTACTTCGGAAGATGCTACTGCACCTCGTATTAGGCGCCATGCAACTTCCAATGCCACCCGAATTCCAAAAGGTCAAGGCAAACTCAGCAATTCACAGTCGTCCTCACCGACCTCACCTTGTGGTGTGACTGATCAAATGGATCGCGTCCATTCGAGGGGTACGGTTGTCCTCGATACTGCCATCGGCGGTGTAGAACACATGGAGGATGACAACTCGTTCTCATCAAGTGTCTTCTCCGAACATTTAGTTCAACCCGAGCTCCAAATGGTAATCTCGACGGCTCCCGACAACCCTGTAGATAAAGGCAGATCTCGCCGCAGTTCCATTCTCTCGGCGGAAAATTTGATTTTAACGGACAGCGAGAACAAAGAAGCTGATGTACTTGTCAAAGACATGAAGAGTATGGAAAATTTGCTAATCCACACTGATAGTGGCATTTCAACCCCAACCCTTCAAACGGCTGATGATGCTGGTAGTTCCGAGGGTGAAGATGAAAACGATGGTAAAGATGAAGTATTAATGAGTGCCTCAGATAATATCCATCTTTCAAGTTCGAGACCATCTGATAATGATCTGCCTTCCGTATCACAGCCTCCCATAGTTGACGAACATTGTGGCCCACCAGATAATAGGTTCTCCGACACTGATCTTGCCATTTTGAAGGGCGGTTCTTTCAGTCACATTCTACCTGTCGAGGACAAATGTGAATTCGTCCATGAAACTACAAGCCCACCTACTCGCTCCTGTATACTCCCCGACGCGAATCCCAATGGCGTGGTTTCTCCAAAAGCTCCAAACTGCCATTTTGATGCAAAGGATATCGATCCCGATTCCCTCCCAGGTCTTCCTAGTGTACTGGAAACCCATCCCACTTGTCTCTCTGCGCGTGTTATGACTCGCTCTCAAACTGCTGAGCTTTCCAAGCAGCCATGTAGTCCCATTCACTGTTCTAACTCTCGACGGGATTCCAAGTATTTGGAGAGCTCTTCACCTTTACCTTCAAACGTGTCTTCTTCCCAAGCTCGTTTTCGCAATCCTGCCAAGTGTTTGGACAAGCGACGGAGTAGTGCTCGAGGGATGCCCGTTTCAAGCCATGGCTCAAATGAAGATGTAGGCTCTTGTGAGTCCACATCTTTATCAAGTCTTTCAAACATTAACAGTGCCAGTGCTGCCTGTCCATCCAGCGGAATTACTTGTGCTTCGCCCAGTCCGTCTGAGGGCACTCCGGATGTTACGAATATCACTGGTAAAAGTAAGTATACATAGGCTTCTAGAAAATCAGTAGCGTCAGACTAAGAAAGCCTGTAGTGTCATTTCATGAAAATCCCACCACTCGTAATATTTGCCCAAAATGACTCAAGTTCCACTTTGAAAATCAGTTGAGCAGAAGAGTGTTCTTCCACGGCAGTGGTCATACTGCACTCTGAGTATTTTAACATTCCATGATCTAGTCAGCAGAAGAAAGAACTTGTTTGTGTTATAGAGGTTCGCAACCTAAACCCTCAAACATGTGCTGGTGAACTATACGAGACTTCTTCCCGGAAACTGGTATTGAGCTAGATATCCGTTAACAATTCTATAGAACAAAGAATGAAGGAAAATAATGTACGGAGGACAGCACGAACAAGTTCGTTTCTTATGCCTAATCAAACTCGGGTCTTTTTTGTCTGTTGTCTCTTCGGTTTGGTAGTTAGTGGTGATAAAATACTTATTATCGAATCACTTTTTCAATCCAGATGTCAGAACGGTAGATGGTTAACATTTAGAAGAAAACAGAAAACAAATAAAACTGAATTTTTCGTAAATCCGAGGAGCCTTTTTGTATCTACTGTCCAGGATGATTCTCAGATTTAAAGTCATGGCTATACAGCTGAGTATTGTGAGCGGTACCGCTCGGGCATGGAATCACGGTTCACACTCCATTAATTTGTGTATTGAAAAACCGGGTCCGCGAACCACTGGCATTTCACCTGGGTGAGTTAACTAAAAACTGATTCGAAAGTAACCCTAAAAATGCATACGAACCTATTCCTCACCAGCACGAACTTCAGACGCCCCAACTGCCGTTACGCCACTTGGCGTCCACCCTCTTCGAGTCAGCGNAACCCAGATAGACCACATCGCTATAAGCTACAAATGGCGGGGTTGCATTCAAGACTGCCGATCGTACTGGAGCACTACCTTCAAAATCCGACCACGCGTTAGTTTTGCACCAAGCTGTCCATGTGCTTCAGTGGGCGTCCTAAAAGTACGGCACAGTGGCGGTTAGACTGCGATAGGTTGTCTCAACCAGCATGCTTAGCCGTCTCTCAAAACGCGGTAGCTGAAAAGCTAAAACCAACCCCACCTGATAACGTCATTGAGCACTGGTCGCTTATCAAGAATGCTGTGCATTCTGCTGGTTTAGTTGTGGTCTGACGCGCCGTGTCGTGACACCCTGGATTTCTGCTGAGTCTCTGCGCCTTGACGCACGTCGGGCACTTCCGNCATAACGTAACGGCTTGTAATGAGACATGAACTTAACGTAAGCCTATACAGAGGTTGTGAGGTCTGGTGGTCTCAACGTGCATCAGAGATGGAACGTGCTGCCGCAATGGGAAATTCACGTAAGCTGTTCCATCTCATCCAAATCACCGGTAGGAAAACATTGGGTGTGAGCGAGACGATCTATGAAGCTGACGGCTCGCTTATTCACAATCAACAGTGACCTCTTGAACGTTGGGCGGAGCACTTCAAAAACAATTTAGCTGGCTACCCGCGCCAGCTTCTCACAGCTAATCCGGCACACGTTCATTGGTGTTTCAACAGACCCACTTTCTGAGGCGGACATCCGCAAGGAGATCTAAGCCTTGGGACGTCACAGCGCCGGGCTCCGATGGCCTTCTCCTAGCCCTATTTAAAGACATCCTGTTCTCTAAAGTTTTGGACACTGAGCAGGTCTCCTTGTGGGTAGGGGGGGGGGGGGNGGAGTCGATTGTCGTCCCCATCATTAAAAAGGGTCCGCGCAATGATTGCGCCAATCATAGGAGTATAAGCTTGATCCCAATGGCATCAAAGCTGTTAGCGCCCATCATTCTTCTTAGATTGTGCAAAACGCGCGAGGAATATGTCCGTGAGGAGCAGGCTGGGTTTCGTGGCGTTTGTGGCTGCATCGATCAAATCTTCACCCTCCGTCATGCTTACCGTAGACCAACGATCATTGTGTTAGACATTCTCGCGGCCTTCGATTCTGTTGAAAAGACCGTACTGTGGAGGTGTTTGTTGATGAATGAAGTACCAGAGAAGTATGTGTCGATCCTCAAAGAGTTGTATCGCCATACCTCAGGTCGGGTTAGAGCTTATGACCAGCTTTCACCACCGTCTCCAGTGGAGTTCGACAAGGCTGCCCTATATCCCGTTTCCTTTTCAACTTCGCCATAGAGGATGTTCTGCAGGACGTTTTGTCCAGGTCAGCAGATAGGGGAGTCGAATTCCTCCCAGGGAACAGAGTTCTTGACTTGGAATATGCCGATGACATCGCCTTGTTGGGTGACAATGCACAGATAGTCCAAGAAGCTTTAAACCACTTGGCGATAGAGGTATCCAGGTATGGTATGTGCTTTGCACCATCAAAGTGAAAAGTGCTGGTTCAAGACTGACAGGAGCCTGTGTCTGCACTCACCCACTGTGGTGATCAGCTGGAAATGGTCGAGAGCTTTAACTACCTCGGGAGCTTAATCACCGCTGGAGGTAGGGTTTGGGAAGAGGTCATATCACGAATAGCGAAAGCTAGAGCAGCTTTCGCCAACGTGCGACTCCTGTGGCGCCGCCATGACAACCGACTGTCCCTTAAGAGAAGGGTGAACATTGCCGAGGTCCGTAGTGTTCTGCTTTACGGCTGCAAAATCTCACCTCTCCGAGCGACGGATGTTAATGGACTTTCTGTATTCGCTCATCGATGCCTTAGAAGCATTGCTCGTGTCTGGTGGGAACACCGGGTAAGCAGTGACGAAGTTCATCGTCGTG